CTTCGTGCTGCTAGTCCTTCGGTCACGCGCCTTCTTGCTATTGTTGTCACTGACCCTTCCTTTGAGTCCACTGCTGCGTCTGCCCTAGTTGCTGAGCTTGTCGACTTCGCTGCTCGCTGTCGTCTAGACTACGTTGCCAGTCTCGTTGCTGAGTCTGAGTCTGTCTGTCCTCCGTCCGTCGGGGGTGAGTGTGCTCTTAGCACGGACGTCTTTGAGGACAGGCAGGAGGAGTTCCAGTGCTTTGCCGCTGCTTTGCCCCATCTCGTGTCCACGCTGATTGCCCCTGAGGGAGACCCGGATGCACCAGACATCCCGACTCCTCGATCGTACGCTGAGGCGATCGAGGGTCCTTACTCCTCTCAGTGGCAGTCAGCCATGGACGCAGAGATGGCTTCCTGGAAGTCCACAGGCACCTACGTCGACGAGGTTCCCCCACCTGGGGCGAACATCGTCAGTGACATGTGGATTTTCAGGGTGAAGCGGCCGCCGGGTTCTCCGCCTGTCTTCAAGGCGTGTTACGTGGCTCGAGGCTTCAATCAGCGGCAGGGAGTTGACTACTTTCAGACCTTCTCTCCCATCCCAAAGATGACCACTCTTCGGGTGCTGCTGCACATAGCCGCTCAGCGCGATTACGAACTTCACTCTCTTGACTTCAGCACAGCTTTCTTGCAGGGCTGCCTGCACGAGGAGATCTGGCTCCGCCGCCCTCCTGGCTTCACTGGGTCGTTTCCTCCTGGTACCCAGTGGAGCCTCCGGCGGCCAGTCTACGGTCTCCGCCAGGCGCCCCGTGAGTGGCACGACACACTGAGGACTACACTTGCGACTCTTGGGTTTGCTCCTTCTACAGCCGACCCGTCGCTGTTTCTGCGCACCGACACCTCTCTGTCGCCGTTCTACATCCTCGTGTACGTCGACGACTTGGTCTTTGCCACTGCTGACACTGCTGGACTCGCCCACGTGAAGTCAGAGCTGCAGAAGAGACACACGTGCACAGACCTGGGTGAACTGCGCAGCTACCTTGGCTTGCAAATCACCCGGGACAGAGCACAGCGCACCATTACCCTGACTCAGTCACACATGGTGCAGCAGGTCCTTCAGCGCTTCGGCTTCACGTACTCCTCGCCTAAGGCCACTCCTCTGTCTACTCGCCACTCGCTCTCAGCTCTGCCTTCGGATGAGTCCGTAGAGTCGAGTGGCCCGTACCCAGAGCTTGTTGGCTGCCTCATGTACCTGATGACCTGCACACGACCTGACCTTGCATACCCTTTTAGCATCTTGGCACGCTATGTTGCTCCTGAGAGACACCGACCAGAGCACATGGCTGCAGCGAAGAGGGTGTTGCGCTACGTGTGCAGTACGTGGGGCATGGGGCTAGTGCTTGGAGGGCGACGTCGAGTGGTCCTCACAGGTCACGGTGACGCTTTTTGGGCTGACGACAAGGCTCTGCAGCGGTCGTCACAGGGTTACACCTTCAGCCTTGGCTCCGGCTCTGTTTCGTGGCAGTCTACCTGCTCGTCTTCTGTTCTCAGCTCCAGCTGTGAGGCTGAGATCTACGTAAGGGCCATGGCTGCACAAGAGCTACGCTATCTCACCTACCTGCTGAGTGACCTAGGAGAGCCGCCTTGTTCTCCTCCAGTTCTGTACGTAGACAACAAGGCCATGCTGGCCTTGTGTCGGGAGCACAGACTGGAGCACAGAACGAAGCACATTGCTCTCCGCTACTTCCTGGCTCGTGAGTTGCAGCAGCGTGGTCAGCTCCGTCTCACCTACGTGGCCTCTGAGGCCAACACTGCTGATATCTTCACCAAGGCCCTTCCGCTTTGTGATCATCAGCGCTTCTGTACTTTGCTAGGTCTTGTGCCTACCTGGCCTCACTTGCTCACTTCTTGATCTTGTTTGTACTGTACTCTTTCTGTACCTGCACTTGCTTGTTTACCTTTATATATATGATCTTGCATGTGAACTGGCCTTGTGGCCTTGCTCTTGTGCTCGGACTGTGTGGTGACTTTGTGATCGACCCTGAGCTTGCTTTGCTTTGCTTGACTGGTCTTGTGACCACTTGTTCCGAACGAAGGTGGCGTAAATAATAAGGTGTTTCCCCCGGACGCGGTCTGTGCTTTCGTCGATGGCGAGGCCGATGAAGGGGCTTGTGAGGATATGCTCCAGCTGGGTCGTCTGTAGCCAGGTTGCCAGAGACTGCATCAGTTCGCCGAAGCCGTACCTGCCAGAATACAAGGCATACAACATTGGCGACTCCGCGTCTGTAAAACAACGTAAACAGCAAAGGTTATAACCACTCACGTGGTATAATAAGTCTCATAGCCTTTCTTAGGGAAACCTTGAACGCCTTTCCGGGCAAGATACTGCACCAGCTTCACCCATGTCCCCATGGGTGCGTCGCAGTCGCTGATGAACAGAAGCGCCTCAAGCAGTGACGTGACCCGGATCTTCTCTACATCGACCGATGCACGATGATCGTCGATGCGGGGCTGTTTAGACACGGCAGCAAGCAGGGCCTCTTGCTTCTCCAGTGCCAGCTTGTGTTTCCTCGTCCCGGCGTGCTTGCGAAAGGCCTGCGTCTGGACGTCGGTAGCACCTTTGCCTGTCCTGCCGCAACGTCCCCTGACACCGGCGTGCTTCGTGCAGAGACTGCATTTGAAAGCAGGCAGACCACGAACAGTTTTGGTAAGTACAAGCCATGGGAAACGCTCAATCCACTTACTTTTGTACTTATCCAGTGCCTCGGCATAAATCGCATCAACAATCTCCTGAACGTTGATGTCCAGAGACGGGCGCACGGTGGCTTCGTTGACAACAGCTTCAGATACGGGGACGTTGGATGATGGCTTCCAGAAGCTCAGTTTCTGTTGCTTAAGCTTGATTGTGCGCGGTGCTGATGACTTCGACGCCGATGTGCCGACTTGAACGGTGTCGGAAACACCGGGCGGCGCGGGAGGGACGGACCGGATGGAATCCGGGTTGGAAGGCACGTTCGGGTTACCCGCCACTGTAGGAACCGGACCGGGTGCAGTGGGCGCTGGAGGTGGTAGTTGGCGGCCTAAAGATCTTAGCAGAAGATCTAGCCCAGTACGGGCTTCTTCTATGGCGATGCTATCTGCGTCGTCTACATTGGCGTCACCCTCGTCGTGTGAAAGGCCGGCGCCATGGCCAGCCATGGCGGAACAGAGACGAAAGCGAGCCGAGCACAGAGAGAGCGTGCCGAGCACTGAGAGAGCGTGCAGAAAATTGTTTGGTGCTAGGGGCGAAGGAACAGAAATGAAACCCTAGCGGGGTAGGGTGTGGGGTGGGGGAGTCCAACAACTGCCTGGGGATATGCAAGAACGAGCTGATGAAGCGGGCTTGGTTGGCAAGCTAAGCTAACCGTGCCACGATACAAGGCGACGCGCCCCATGCACGTACCTGGTTGCAGCTTCGGGGTGGGTGGGGGGGTTTCCTAATCGCGCGGCAACCATTTTGTGGTGTTGTGCTGCAGCAATGTGCGTGCGTTGTGCAGCGCTGTTGACTTTCCATTCGCCATAGAGTGATGTGGTTGCCCAAACAACCAATCAGGAGCGAAGATACCTTCGCGATAAGTCAGCAGTGAAGTGAACATTCGGGAATGATGCCATTCCCGAATGCGTTGGCAAGGAATCTTGCCATTTCGGCGTGATTGACGGAGGCGGGGTCGAAGCAGTATACCTAGACGTCTGGAATTCAGGGCTCTTACGCGAATCTCCACTACAGGGATTTCAGCCCAACCCTTTCTTACAACTCTGACGATAAAGCGTACCCTACTGGAAAAAATCTGATATTTCAGCAAAAACCGATTAAAAAAAACTGAACTTTCAGCAAACACTTTCAAAAAAAAACTGACACAACAGCCTCAATATTCCCCCACCACTGAAATCACAGCCTTTTTACCCCTAATCAGCCTTTTTTCGCTGACTTCTGAGGGCCTGGTGTCTGGGGCCATACGGTGGTATTCTCATCTCTGTCATTTTACATTCACTCATGCGATACCTGAGCTCAACACTTCAGCTGCAATACTACCGTATGGCCTCGGATAGAAGCGCAGGCCTATGTTAAGCGCATGCGCTTGTATCTGGAGCAATGCGCTTATGGCCGATCCTCAATTATAAGCGCACCCCTTATAAAACCCTGATTTATTATAAGCGCATGTATAAACATTTTTCAAAAAAAAAACGGATTAAAACAGTAACGACTTCCCGTTTTAAAGCGAGTCCACATCCACTTCTACTCTGTTTGACTCCCTCGAGGGCGGGCTCGCTCAGGAAAAGCGCAACAGCGCGAAGTTGACCTGACAGGGGGGCTCGGGAACACCTGTTGTCTGTGCGCTGCGAGAGAGCGACTGCAGGCTATTGGTCGTACACTGTGGCAAGCCTGTGCGATGCGAACGAGCAACTGCAAGCTATTGGTTCGTACACTCTGCTGGGGCGAGCATGACACATTCCTATGCGAAAGTGACGTGTCCTTGCCCTTGTGCGCTGGCAGAGAATCGCCCTCGCGCGATTCTAATTCAGAACGCTCCACACATTTCGATTTGAATGAAATTGCAAGACTCTAATGCACAGTTTGGTGCGTTTATAACATCTTTCTGTGATTGTTATTATATAAGCGCATGCGCTTATAATTTTGACTCATTTATAAGCGCACCCCCCTAAAAAACACTGTTTTATTATAAGCGCAGATGCGCTTCTATCCGGGGTATTACGGTACCAGCGATCAACCCTGAGCCGATCCCTGGCCAAGTCATGTTTAGGAGTGTAAGAATTTTATGGTATGTAGTTGCGCTAGTCATCCTAAGGATGTGTGCCCTTCACCTTCTTCCACTAGATACTTTCAAAAATGGTAACAACAAATGTCTCGCATTTGAAGCACAACACAACAATGCCTCCAGAGCATGGGAATATGCAAGCGGCTTGTTTGTCGCGATCAGACGACTCTCCCTTGTGTAACATATATTGACTCTGCAACGTGCATCACCTCCCTCCGTTGCTCTGGTCCCTCCTCTCATCTCCATGCTCATCCCCATCCCCATGCCCATGCCCATCCCCGTCCCCATTGGCATGCTCCTCCGAGTTACCTTTGTCAAACCCGTGTGCCTCATCATCCCTCTCCTCCTCATCCAGGCGGGTGGGGAAGAACTCCTCCCCGGGGGCAATGCGCATGAAGACCTGCCCACATCGCAAGCCAAAGGCAGGCGAAAACAGTACAGGCAAGAAGAGATTTCAGAATTTGCGTGGACGAGAAGAACCCTGTCTGCCACATCATCATCCATCACCCTCATCCAGAATAGTGCCATCTCTCATCACTACCATCTCTCCATCATCACTACCATCTCTCCATCATCACTACCATCTCTCCATCATCACTGCCATCTCTCCATCATCACAATGTCATCTCAACCACCAGTGTCATCCCAGCCTTACAATAACATCCCAGCCATTACAGTAACAGCTCGAGCATTACAGTTTCATCGCAAGCAGCAGCAGCATGGGTGCATGGGCTCACCTGCTGGGCCTCCTCGAGCACTGACTGCAGGTGCAGGGAGTCGCTCGGAGCGCTGCATGCAAACACGCCCTCTGGCACCTGCCGTGGGGGGGAGAGCATCGGGAATCCTGCGTCAAGAATCCTGCGTTGGGAATCCTGCGTTGGGAATCCTGCGTTGGGAATCTGCCTGGAGCATGAATAGTGCACAAAGCACGGTGCACGGTGCATCGCACATGGTACAGCATGAGCGTCCCATGGCCCATACCTACACACTGCGGGCATCCCATGGCCCATACCTACACACTGCGGGCATCCCATGGCCCATACCTGCACACTGCGGGCATCCAGCAGGCGCTGCGAGAAGAACACAGCCCACAGCGCAGTGGGCCTCCCCTTCCCGGCTGCCTCCTCTCCATGCTCATCGCCCGCCCCCGCCTCTGACCCCACCTGCTCTGATACCATACGGCTGGATGACGCCGTTTCCTCCCCTCCTTCATCTCCCACTCCTCCCCCCTCCCCGGCCACCCCGCTCCCCGCATTCTCCTGCGCACCCACTCCCTCTGCATGCTTGCTCCTGCCACCCCCCTCACTCACACCTCCAGCAGCAGTTGCAGCAGCAGAATGAGTGGTGGGGGAGGGGTGTGGCAACGAAGTGAGGGCAGCAAGCACGGGCAGCAGCAGGGCGCGAGGGCAGTGGGAGGGGAGGCAGCGGGTGGAGAGATACAGCAGGTACCTGCCGGGGGGGGGGGGGGGGGGGAGGTGGGATGTGATGGTGATGGGAGACGGCACTGGAGAATGAAGGGACCTGCCCGAGAGAGGGGGGAGAGTGCCATGCTGTAGACTAGTATAGTAGGTAGTGCCATGCTGTAGACTAGTATAGTAGGTAGTGCCATGCTGCAGACTAGTATAGTAGGTAGTGCCATGCTGCAGACTAGTATAGTAGGTAGTGCCATGCTGCAGACTAGTATAGTAGGTAGTGCCATGCTGTAGACTAGTATAGTAGGTAGTGCCATGCTGCAGACTAGTATAGTAGGTAGTGCCATGCTGTAGACTAGTATAGTAGGTAGTGCCATGCTGCAGACTAGTATAGTAGGTAGTGCCATGCTGCAGACTAGTATAGTAGGTAGTGCCATGCTGCAGACTAGTATAGTAGGTAGTGCCATGCTGCAGACTAGTATAGTAGGTAGTGCCATGCTGCAGACTAGTATAGTAGGTAGTGCCATGCTGCAGACTAGTATAGTAGGTAGTGCCATGCTGCAGACTAGTATAGAAGGTAGTGCCATGCTGCAGACTAGTATAGTAGGTAGTGCCATGCTGCAGACTAGTATAGTAGGTAGTGCCATGCTGTAGACTAGTATAGTAGGTAGTGCCATGCTGCAGACTAGTATAGTAGGTAGTGCCATGCTGCAGACTAGTATAGTAGGTAGTGCCATGCTGCAGACTAGTATAGTAGGTAGTGCCATGCTGCAGACTAGTATAGTAGGTAGTGCCATGCTGCAGACTAGTATAGTAGGTAGTGCCATGCTGCAGACTAGTATAGAAGGTAGTGCCATGCTGCAGACTAGTATAGTAGGTAGTGCCATGCTGCAGACTAGTATAGTAGGTAGTGCCATGCTGTAGACTAGTATAGTAGGTAGTGCCATGCTGCAGACTAGTATAGTAGGTAGTGCCATGCTGCAGACTAGTATAGTAGGTAGTGCCATGCTGCAGACTAGTATAGTAGGTAGTGCCATGCTGTAGACTAGTATAGTAGGTAGTGCCATGCTGCAGACTAGTATAGTAGGTAGTGCCATGCTGTAGACTAGTATAGTAGGTAGTGCCATGCTGCAGACTAGTATAGTAGGTAGTGCCATGCTGTAGACTAGTATAGTAGGTAGTGCCATGCTGTAGACTAGTATAGTAGGTAGTGCCATGCTGCAGACTAGTATAGTAGGTAGTGCCATGCTGCAGACTAGTATAGTAGGTAGTGCCATGCTGCAGACTAGTATAGTAGGTAGTGCCATGCTGCAGACTAGTATAGTAGGTAGTGCCATGCTGCAGACTAGTATAGTAGGTAGTGCCATGCTGCAGACTAGTATAGTAGGTAGTGCCATGCTGCAGACTAGTATAGTAGGTAGTGCCATGCTGCAGACTAGTATAGTAGGTAGTGCCATGCTGCAGACTAGTATAGTAGGTAGTGCCATGCTGCAGACTAGTATAGTAGGTAGTGCCATGCTGCAGACTAGTATAGTAGGTAGTGCCATGCTGTAGACTAGTATAGTAGGTAGTGCCATGCTGCAGACTAGTATAGTAGGTAGTGCCATGCTGCAGACTAGTATAGTAGGTAGTGCCATGCTGCAGACTAGTATAGTAGGTAGTGCCATGCTGCAGACTAGTATAGTAGGTAGTGCCATGCTGCAGACTAGTATAGTAGGTAGTGCCATGCTGCAGACTAGTATAGTAGGTAGTGCCATGCTGCAGACTAGTATAGAAGGTAGTGCCATGCTGCAGACTAGTATAGTAGGTAGTGCCATGCTGCAGACTAGTATAGTAGGTAGTGCCATGCTGTAGACTAGTATAGTAGGTAGTGCCATGCTGCAGACTAGTATAGTAGGTAGTGCCATGCTGCAGACTAGTATAGTAGGTAGTGCCATGCTGCAGACTAGTATAGTAGGTAGTGCCATGCTGCAGACTAGTATAGTAGGTAGTGCCATGCTGCAGACTAGTATAGTAGGTAGTGCCATGCTGCAGACTAGTATAGAAGGTAGTGCCATGCTGCAGACTAGTATAGTAGGTAGTGCCATGCTGCAGACTAGTATAGTAGGTAGTGCCATGCTGCAGACTAGTATAGTAGGTAGTGCCATGCTGCAGACTAGTATAGTAGGTAGTGCCATGCTGTAGACTAGTATAGTAGGTAGTGCCATGCTGCAGACTAGTATAGTAGGTAGTGCCATGCTGCAGACTAGTATAGTAGGTAGTGCCATGCTGCAGACTAGTATAGTAGGTAGTGCCATGCTGCAGACTAGTATAGTAGGTAGTGCCATGCTGCAGACTAGTATAGTAGGTAGTGCCATGCTGCAGACTAGTATAGTAGGTAGTGCCATGCTGCAGACTAGTATAGAAGGTAGTGCCATGCTGCAGACTAGTATAGTAGGTAGTGCCATGCTGCAGACTAGTATAGTAGGTAGTGCCATGCTGTAGACTAGTATAGTAGGTAGTGCCATGCTGCAGACTAGTATAGTAGGTAGTGCCATGCTGCAGACTAGTATAGTAGGTAGTGCCATGCTGCAGACTAGTATAGTAGGTAGTGCCATGCTGCAGACTAGTATAGTAGGTAGTGCCATGCTGCAGACTAGTATAGTAGGTAGTGCCATGCTGCAGACTAGTATAGAAGGTAGTGCCATGCTGCAGACTAGTATAGTAGGTAGTGCCATGCTGCAGACTAGTATAGTAGGTAGTGCCATGCTGTAGACTAGTATAGTAGGTAGTGCCATGCTGCAGACTAGTATAGTAGGTAGTGCCATGCTGCAGACTAGTATAGTAGGTAGTGCCATGCTGCAGACTAGTATAGTAGGTAGTGCCATGCTGTAGACTAGTATAGTAGGTAGTGCCATGCTGCAGACTAGTATAGTAGGTAGTGCCATGCTGTAGACTAGTATAGTAGGTAGTGCCATGCTGCAGACTAGTATAGTAGGTAGTGCCATGCTGTAGACTAGTATAGTAGGTAGTGCCATGCTGTAGACTAGTATAGTAGGTAGTGCCATGCTGCAGACTAGTATAGTAGGTAGTGCCATGCTGCAGACTAGTATAGTAGGTAGTGCCATGCTGCAGACTAGTATAGTAGGTAGTGCCATGCTGCAGACTAGTATAGTAGGTAGTGCCATGCTGTAGACTAGTATAGTAGGTAGTGCCATGCTGCAGACTAGTATAGTAGGTAGTGCCATGCTGCAGACTAGTATAGTAGGTAGTGCCATGCTGCAGACTAGTATAGTAGGTAGTGCCATGCTGCAGACTAGTATAGTAGGTAGTGCCATGCTGCAGACTAGTATAGTAGGTAGTGCCATGCGTGTTGCTGTATCCACCAGTCTTCCCTATCGTTGTATCCCAAAAGTTTATTTTAATAAAGAACCATTCGAGGGGAGAGTGTGTGTGTGCAGCGCAGTGCGTGGGAAGCAGGAAGAGAGTGCGAGCAAGGAATAGGACCACTCACTTCCCTTGGGGGCACACAGCACATTGCGATGACAGCTGGCACACTCTCACTGGCTGCTCCGGAAGCCCTGGTGCGAGTGCTGGCGGAGGGAGAGAGGGAGGGAAGTGCAGGGCGAGATGTGGGCGAGAGGGATGGGACGGGTGGGTGAGGGGTGAGACGCAGATTGCATGGGAAAGAGAATGAGACGAGCTGGGAGCCAGAGAAGGGTAGTTTTGCCTACACCTCTCGGCAGCAACACTCACACCTGGGCGGCAGCACTCACTTGTGGGCGGCAGCACTCACATGTGGGCGGCAGCACTCACATGTGGGCAGCAGCACTCACATGTGGGCGGCAGCACTCACATGTGGGCAGCAGCACTCACATGTGGGCGGCAGCACTCACATGTGGGCGGCAGCACTCACATGTGGGCGGCAGCACAGCAACGAGAGTGTGCATGTGTTGATGCAGGGAACCGTCGGTGATGCAAATGCAGCGCGCCACCACGCCCTCCTCCTGCTCCTCCTCCCCTTCCCCCCTCTCCCCTCCGGCACCTGCCCCAGTGCTGTCCAAAGCACCACGAGCGCCGCCACCGCCACCGTGAGACTGAGGCCCCGCCACGCCACCGTGAGACTGAGGCCCCGCCACGCCTGGGCCCGTCCCCACCCCACCCACACACGCGCCACTGCCACCTGCTGCGCTCCCACGTGCTTCAGCACTGCCGCTCACCGTTGCAGGGTGGTCTGCTGCGGGCTCTTTTGCGGGTGGTGCTGTGGTTGCTGTGGGGGGCAGCGCCTTGGGGAGGAAGGAGGGGCCGAGGAGCACGAGGGGCGCGCCCAGCAGCTGCCCGTCCTCCACCGCCACTCCCTCACACCGCCCCGTGTGCTGAGCGGAGGGGGGGGGGAGGGGGGGGAAGGGGGGATGCGCCGCGGGAGGGGATTGGTACATGGGGCAAAGGCGGCAGGGGATATTATGGTGGATGGTGAGGGAGGCGGCTCCGGGTGAGTGTGACACGTGATTCAGAGACGTGTGAGTGTGACACGTGATTCAGAGACGGGTGACACGTATGGAGCATGCATGCCATTCATTGCTGCTCCTTGCAGGCCCAGCCCTTGGTGCAGGTGCAGGTGCAGGTGCGGGTGCGGGTACAGGTGGAGGGTGACGCGCGCAGAGAAAAGTGAGGGTGGGGTGGCACGCACTGCATTCACAAGAAGAGACGCCACGGGCCGGCGCAGCACCTGCAGTAGCAGCACGCAGCACACAGCATGCAGCAGGCAGTATACAGGTCGCACAGAGAAGGGTCGAGTTTAGCGAAATGACAGGAGAGGCGGGGTGAAGAGGGATGAGTGGAGCAACCAGAAGCGGCAATGCTGCCAGCAAATAGAGCAGCGAGGAAACTGAGGAGCAGCATGCAACATGGTGAAGAGCAGCAGGGGGCGCATGAGGCAGGGTGGGGGTATGAGGCACAGTGGGGGCATGAGGCAAGGGGGAACAGGCGGCATGGGGAGTGCCTGCCTGTGGCACGAGGGCGCGAGCACTGACATAGAGGGCGCCCTTGACGGCAGCGAGGCGGCAGAAGGCCTGGGCGAGCTCGCCCATGCCGTACAGCGCCACCATCATGCCCGCCTCCGTGCCGTACCTGCCATGCCATGCCATGCCATGCCATGCCATGCCATGCCATGCCATGCCATGCCCATGCCCATGCCATGCCCATGCCCATGCCATGCCCATGCCATGCCATGCCCATGCCATACCCATGCCCATGCCCATGCCCATGCCCATGCCCATGCCCATGCCCGTGCCCATGCCCATGCCCATGCCCATGCCATGCTCATGCCCATGCCCACGCACACATGCGCAAGGGAGCAGAGCTCCGCACCCATTAATAAAAGCTGCAGATGGAAGGAGCTGGCCCATGAAAGGGCGTGGCGAATGCGGTGGTGAGCTGCCCTGCCCTGAGGGCCAGCATATGCGGGCAACCACCACCTCACACCCACCCCTGTGTGCCGTGCCAGCACAATGCACACAGTGCCCACCCAGCACACAGCAGCCAGCACCCATGCAGCACCCACCGGCCGACGGAGTTGAGGAAGAGCGCCATGCGAGCCAGCCCCTCTGCCGCTGTCACCACACCCCCCTGCATCCCCTCCCCTCCTCCCCCTCCTCCACCACCTCCGCTGCTGCTGCTGCTGCTGCTGCCACCGCTGGCACTGTTGGCAGCGGTGGCAGCAGCGGCAGGGGGTGTGGGGTGCTGGTTGCATGGCAGCAGGGCGATGGCGTACAGAATGAAGCTGGGCAGGGCACAGGGGGGGCCGGCGGGCCGGTTGAGGTGGGAGGGGGGGAGTGGGGGGTGAGAGAGGTTGGACGCATGAGTGGTGGATGCGCAATGGGGGCGAGGGGGGGGATAGAAGCATGGTGGGTCGGGTTGAGAGGGCGGTGGGGGATGGAGGAGACACCACCAGAGCAAGCAGGTGGCGTGGCGTGGGTGGGTGAGAGCAGGAGCAAGGGTGAGCAGGGGTGAGGGCAAGCAGTGTGGACCACGGGGCCATGGGCTGCATGCATGCGGTGGTGCTGCATCTCACTCTTGCACGCGTGCTGGCAGCCCGTGTGCCTCCAGCAGCACCGTAAACGTCCCCTCCCCCTCCCCCTCCCCCTCGCTGCCGCTCGCCGCCTTCCCTTCCTCCTTCCCCCCCGCTCCCACCTGCCCACTTGCATCGTTCCCGCCTTCCCTCGCCTCACCGCCGCCACCAGCAGTGGCAGCAGCGGGGGCAGGGGGGCCAGGGGCGGCGGAGAGGGGGGAGGCGGAGTTGAAGAAGCGCATGAGGCGGCGCTTGTCCGCCAGGGGCAGCTGCCGGTCCTGAAACACGTCCCCCCGACTCGTCGGCACCCGCACCAGCCCCCCTTCCCCCCCACCACCGTGCCCCTGCGCGCCACTCTCCCCCCGCGCCTTGCCCTCTCCCCCCCGCTGCCAGCAGAGCAGGGCCTGCACGGCCTTGAACTCCACGTAGTGGTGCGCGCCGCTGCGCACCAGCACGCGCACCGCGTCCTCGCCGCACATCACCACGCGCGGCCCCGCCAGATCCACCGCGTAGCGCCGCGCCTCGCCCAGCTCCGCTGGCAGGCGCGCCGGGTGGAAGGGCTCGTGGGAGGCGCGTGGCAGCCACGTGGCGGTGGACACGCGCGAGTAGAGCGCGCCGTCCTCCGACGACCCCAGCGCCACCGCCCTCACCTCCCCCGCCCGCACCCGCTCCTCCAGTGACACCTCGCCCGCCCCTGCCCCTGCCCCTGCCCCTGCCCCTGCGTCTGTGCCTGCGGCCGCAACTGCATCTGCCCCCCCCGCCTCGCCCGCGCCTGAGTCCCCAGTCGTGCGCGCGCCATCTTCAGTTGCGCCCACGCCTTCGCTATCCCCATCCTGCCTCCCCTCGGCACCCCCCTCCCCGTCTCCCCGTCCCGTCCCCTCGTCGCCGCTCAGCACTTCCCTTTCCCCCTCCGCGCTTTCCCCAGGGGCTCTCCGCGCATCCTCCCCGCGCTCGTCGTCGTCTTCCGCAAACCCGTTGGTCTGCGTGTCCTCGTTCTCCCCCGGAGGCGGAATGCGCCCGCCGCTCGCCGCCCACTGCGCGAGCTGGTCGAGCGGCAGCGACGCCCAGTGCGACCCGTAGAAGGCGGCGCAGTCCACGTGCAGCACGCGCCGCCCCGCCAGAGACAGCGCCGCCGCCAGCAGCGACTCGGGCAGGCCCGTGCCGACGACGATCGCGTCGAACGACGTCGGCTCGATGCGACGCTCGCGACGCATGGCGCTGCGATGGACGAACAGCGGCGAAGGACTGTCGCACGACGGGCGGTAATTTGACTAATTGACGGAAAAGGGGTTCCTTTCTGCGCTGTTGTAGAGAAAGCACGCCCTGAAACTACGTGTTGTGAGGGAGTGTGGAATGGGGCCAGAAAAATGGCGATTCACGTGAACACATAATCCGTTATGGTAAAATTCGAGAACAAGGTGGGGGGGGGGCGTAGTTGTACAGTGCGTGAATTACAAACAAGAACACAGATTGCACCCCGCACTCCACAGTGTGACTGGTGGCTGTGTGGTCTGTGGAGCGGAAAGGCGCTACTGTCTCGTCGCATCGCCTCCATCGCCACATCTCGCCCCGCTCGCCCATCGCCCTGGATGGCCACTCGGCAGACCCCCTTTCTTCCTGCCGTCGCGCAATCGCCATCTCCGTCGCTCAGCAGTCGTCGATCGTCCGGCCGACAAACTTTCGCGTCGTTCGCGGTCGATAAGTCCACGGCCGCGCGCCTCGCGCAGTCCCTGGGCTGCGCGCGCCCCGCGCTTGTCCTCCTGCTCGCCGCAGTGATCGGCGCGCTGCTGCTGCTCGTCCGCGGCCCCCACCGGGGCGGGTTCCTCTTTGCGCCGCAATCGAGCGCCGCGGATGACGCCCCGCACGAGGCGCTGCTCGCCGCAGCGTTGGCGGAGCTGAGGCGGGCGCGCGAGGAGGGGCGGGCGGAAGCGGTGGTGGCGGCGCAAGAGGCGGTGTTGGCGCGGCAGCAGGCGCTGCTGCGGCGGTACTGGCGGCAGCTGACGCGACTCACGGGGCAGCGCGGCGGGAAAACAGGGGGAGGGGGGCCAATCGTAGGGAGTGGAGAACAGGGGAAGGCGGAGGTGGGGGGAGGGGAGTTCGTGGGGACGCGGCATGAGGGTTGCGGCAGCGGGGAGTCAGTGCCGCGCGAGCAGGTGGTGGCGGAGGCGGAGAAGCTGGAGTGGCGGCCGCAGGCGGACTCGTACCTGCTAGCGGCGTGTGTGTACGGGCGGATGACGAACCGCCTGCTGTGTGTGCGCAACTACATCCTGGCCGCCACGCTGCTGCGCCGCACGCTCATCGTGCCCTCAGAGGACCTCTACCGCCCCGCGCGTCGCTGGAACTCGCCACTCGACGCGCCGCTCAGCCTAGATGTCGTCTTCAACGCGTCGCACCTCAACGCCTGCCTCGGCCGCCGCGTCGCCGTCTCGCTGCGCGACTACCTGCGCGCCGCCAACGCCACGCGCCTCGACGTCGACCGCTTCGTCTGCTGGGCGGACCGCTGCGCTTTCCAGCGCGGCCGCCCGTCCCACCCCGCCATCCGCTTCACGTCGCGGCGCCAGGCGGGGCTGGAGGCGAACGTGACGCGCCGCACCTTCACGGACGCGTACGGCGGCGCGGGCGGGCGCGTGCTGTGCGTGGGCGATCTGTACGAGTCGCACGCGCGCTTCCTCGACCCGCCGCCCGGCTTCGCCTCCAGCCTCGCCACTGCCTGGGCCATGCCCTCCCTTGCACACCCCCCTGCTGTCGCGGGCGCGCGCGATGCAGGCGGGGGGCTGGCAGGCGGAGGGGGGCTGCAGTTGGGGGCAGCAGGGATAGGCATGGAGCAGCGGTGCCGGGCGCTGGTGTGGCCGTGTGATGCGGTGGTGCAGGCAGCCGAGGGGTTCGTGCGCGAGGTGAGTGGAGGGGCGTTTGCATCGCTGCACCTGAGGCGGGACGACATGTTCCGACACTGCGTGGGGCAGGGCAAGTGTCCGTACTGGGCGCAGCGGCAGGCGGGCGAGTGCGTGCGGGAGAAGCTGCTGGGGGGGGCGTTTGACGCCGCCAGTGCCCGGCATGCACGGCAGGGGGGAGGGGCGGCGTGGGCAGGGCGAGGGGCCATGGGCGCGTTTCCCGGGCGGCCATTGCTGTTCCTGGCGTCAGACACTTCAGATTCGGACCTTGCTGTGTTCCTCTCCGCCCTGCAAGGCGTGCCCCTGCTGCCACACATGAACACCACCACTGCCTCTGCCTCTGCCTCTGCCTCTGCCAGCACTGCCAGCAGCTTGAGCTCGCCCACACCAGCCTCGCTAGCTGGCCTGGATTCACCCGAGGCAGTGGTGGTGGTTCGGTTGCCGAGCCTGGAGGGCAAGATGTGGGCGGAGAGGCTGAACAGGGAGGGGCTGGCAGGGAACCCGGTGGCGGTGGCGGCGGTGGAGAAGGTGGTGTGCGCCCTGAGCCGCCTGTTCCTCACCACACCGGGCTCCACCTTCTCCCACCACATCATGCACCTCCGTACCGCCCTCCACACCGCCTCCTGCCATGATGGGGGCTTGTGCCGCGGCCTTGCAGACCCCGAGCCCGTCTGACCTGACTCACCCCGCATGGGCTCACTGACACATGGCCTCTGCCCTGCTCACCTCACCCTGCTGCTCTGCATACCTGGAGCAGTATTTGGCCATGTGGCTTAGGCTGCTAGGCACCCTCTGTAATTATTCATTGTGCTAATAAGATGTACGTAATATGTACAGGGCTTTACAGATTTGTGAAGGTCCATGTGCTAGAGAAGGATGAGTACCATGCTCTCGACATGCGTGCTTTTAGCACTGCCTGCAACTGGTACCACAGGTAGATTCTTGCACCCCTCAGCTGCTTGTACCCCTCCTCCATCCTGTCACCGCCTCTCCATAATCGCTCCCGACCCGATCCACGCCGCAGCCACACCTGCACGCCTCACAGTACTTTCTTCCCATCTCCTATTCCCTCCGTGCTATTCACTCCCACCCTCACCCGTGCCTCTGTCTCTGCGCTGCCCCCCTGCGAGCCCAGCAGCAGCGGGGGCAGCAGCAGCATGAGCAGGAGCGGCAGGTACGCAGCGAGGAGAGGGGGCAGGAGGGCGGAGCGGGCGGCAGCAGCGAGGGCAGCGGAGAGCAGGTGGAAGGCGGCAGCAAGGGGCAGCGCCAGCTGGAAGGGCGCCCCTCTGCTGACCGTGGCCGTGCGATGGCCCCCCACCCAGATGACCCGCTTGCTGGCAGGGGCCGCTGTCACCAGCACTGCCACCGCCCCCAGCTGTGGGGGAGAGAAGCGTGGGGTGGGAAAGAGGGGTGGGGATGAGATGGAGGAGTGGCGTGAGCGAGAGATGGAGAGGAATGGACCATGGACAACTATCATGCATGCAGGCTTGCACCATGCACGGCTCACCACCACACCATGCATGCCCCTCCCACCATGCATGCCCCTCCCACCCTGCATGCCTCACCACAGCATGCATGCCTCACCACAGCATACGCCACACAGGAGGCACAGCTGGCATCGCGCAGCACCAAGTCACTCTCCGCCTCTGCCACCCTCCTCCGCTGCTCCGCCACCCGCCTGCGCTGCTCCCTCACCACCCGCTCGTCCCTTCCCCACCACCTTGGCCCCTTGCGGGGTGCCTGGCGCTGCAGCCATGCGAGCTGCGCGCGCAGGTGCCTGGCGCGCGCTGTGAGGAGGCTGCGGGGGAGACAGGCGGGCGGCAGGGCGGCGTGGGCAGCGAGAGGCGAGGAGGAGGGCAGCGCAGAGGCGAGTGGCACGTCCAGTGACTCCAGCTGGTGGGACGGGAAGAGGGGGGAGGGGAAGGGGATGGGGGGAGGTAGGAGGAAGGGGTTGGGCAGGAGGTCACTGATGTATGACACAAACATTTGAAGGAAATGAAAACATTCAGCACCTGGCTTTCTGGAAAAAGAGCAGCACAGCAGGAAATTGTGAGACATGGGCATGAGGAGTAGCAAACTAGGTGCGGATGGTGAAGGCATGAGAGCACAGGCGAGGGCGAGGGTGAGTGATGGTGGGAGGCAGATGGAGAGAGGCAGAGAGAGCAGCACCTGCAGCAGAGAGAAGGAGGCCGGTGCTGTAGCGGCGCCGTGTGAGGATGGTGTGGTGGAGAGCGGTTCGGCAGGTGGTTGCAGCGATGGTGGTGCCATGGTGTGTGTGGTGGAAGGCAGGCAGTCAGGCGGGGCGAGCGGCAGCAGACAGCAGTTGAGGAGGCGCCACGTGCTCGAGTGTGGTTGCCACTCACACCGCTCCGCTGCCACCACCTGCTCACCCCATTGCACGGCAGAGAGGGCAGGCGCTGACACATAGCCGGACTTGTGATCTGCTCATCTCCATGCCCACTCGTGTGTGACACTTCATTTACCAGTCATGTTAGGGTCGATAGAGACAGGGAGGCGGAGAGACAGAGAGACAAGCAGGGGAAGAGGGAAGAAGGACTCACGGCCTGCACGTGCCCCTGAGGGGCGAGGTGCAGCAGCATGACACGTCGCATGGCACCCCCCCCCACCTCCCCCGCATACCACACCCGCCACAGCCCCGCCCCCCCTCCCAACATTCCCTCGCCCCCCTTCCCCGCTGCCGCCGCTGCCCCCCCTGCACTGCCGGTGAGAGGAGAGGCGATGGTGGAGTGTGGTGAGGGGGGGTGAAGATGGGCGAGGAGGAGTGCGAGGGGGTCATGGTGGTGCTGCGCCTGGTGGGCGGAGAGGGGCGGGCACGGAGGTGAATGGAGAGAGGAGCGGAGAGGAGGGTGAGCAGGCGATGAGTGAGTGGGTTGCAGGGTGGGGGTGAGGTGGTGAGGGTGCACACGGCCTCTGGTAGTACCACCTGACATGGCATGCATGACACTGCATTACACTGCATGACACTGCATGACACTGCATTACACTGCATGACACTGCATGACACTGCATTACACTGCATGACACTGCATTACACTGCATTACACTGCATGACACTGCATTACACTGCATTACACTGCATTACACTGCATGACACTGCATGACACTGCATTACACTGCATGACACTGCATGACACTGCATTACACTGCATGACACTGCATGACACTGCATGACACTGCATTACACTGCATGACACTGCATTACACTGCATGACACTGCATGACACTGCATGACACTGCATTACACTGCATTACACTGCATGACACTGCATGACACTGCATGACACTGCATTACACTGCATTACACTGCATTACACTGCATGACACTGCATGACACTGCATTACACTGCATGACACTGCATGACACTGCATTACACTGCATGACACTGCATGACACTGCATGACACTGCATGACACTGCATTACACTGCATGACACTGCATTACACTGCATGGCACTGCATTACACTGCATGACACTGCATTACACTGCATGGCACTGCATGACACTGCATGACACTGCATTACACTGCATTACACTGCATGACACTGCATTACACTGCATGACACTGCATTACACTGCATTACACTGCATGACACTGCATGACACTGCATTACACTGCATGGCACTGCATGGCATGGCACCACATGGTAGCACATACATGCACATGCGCACCATATTCCTCCCCATCACATACATGCGCACCATATTCCCCCCCTTCACATACATGCGCACCATATTCCCCCCCTTCACATACATGCGCACCATATTCCCCCCCATCACATACATGCGCACCATATTCGCGCAGCAAGACATGCTGCTGGGATGGCAGCGATGCCATGTCCGATGTCACTGCCGCCTGCACCATGCGCTGCGCCCTGCCATGCCATGCCATGCCATGCACAATGCATAGTGAGCCCGAGAGCAAAGGTTGATGGATGTTCAGGACAGAATGCAGCACTGCATATTTGGCATGGCATGGCATGTTATGGCAGAGAGGAGTCACCTGCCCATGGCCCATGGCACCACGTGCTCATGGCATGCGAGCATGAGCACGCCTGCCGCCACGCCCACACACACTGGCGCGCGCAGCAGCCTGCCCCACGCCACTCCCCCCGCCGCCATGCCCGCCAGCTCGCTCTGCGCCTGGGGGCACTCGAGGGGGGCATCAGGGGACAATTGGAAGGAGGGGCAGAGAGGGTGACAAGGTGGGTTGCAATTGAGGGACTCAGCCCCGCGCCACCTGCGAGCGACGCTGCAGGGAGGGGGGTAGGGATGCGGATGCAAGGGGTAGGCGCGTATGTGGGCGCAAGTGGGGGAGGGAATTGTGTGGGCGCAAAGGGGCGGGGGGCGCACCAGGAGGTGGGAGAAGGCGAAGAGGGAGGCGGCGAGGCAGGCGGGGGGGAGCGCGAGCGCGAGGAAGCGCGGGAGGTGGTGCAGCGCGACCAGCAGCGCCAGGCGGAGCGGCGCGCCCGTGTTGGCCGCCACGCGCGCCACCTCCGCCAGCGACCCCAGCGCCACGCCCACACTCGCCGCCACGCCCGCCGCCACCGCGAAGGGGCGCGCCATGCTGCGCGAGAGGTACCCGTCCAGCACGCCCCACCGCCACCGCCGCCCCCGCATGGCCCACTTCCGCGCCAGTTGCGCCCACAGCTTCCGCCATTCGCGCGGGGCTTGCGGTGTCGAGGGCGGAGACGCGGTGGAAGGCACGGAATCAGCGGGAAGAGCAGCGGGCGGGCGAGGGAATGCGCGGGACGCGCGTGGCGCGAGCAGACGAATTGGGAAGGGCGGACGACGAGGGATAGGACAGGAGAAGGGGGGGCTAATGCGGAGGGCGGGTGTAAGGGCGGGGTTAGAGGGGAGTGTGGGAGGAGAAGGCGAGCGACGGACAGGCGAGGCAAGGCGGATGGCGATGGCGATGGCGGAAGGCGAAAGCGACTCCGCCATACTATCAAAGATGGCGCGGAGATACAAGCGAGGGGCACTGTGAACATTGATATCAGCACTATAGTGCATCACGTTACGAGGACAGTTGTTTATAGGAACCATAAGTTCTCTTATCATCTCTTATATAATGCATAAGTACATGCGAAACCCAAGGAAATGGTAAGCCGTTCAGGTGCTGCATCCCACGATTCTGAAAGGCGATCACGAGGGCAGGGAGCGCTTGGTCCTCTTCCTGACCACACTCTCCACGAGCTGCCTCACCTCCTCCTGCTGCTCCGCACTGCGACACGCCGCCAGCATCACCCGCACCGCCCCCGCATCCCAACGCAACCCCGCTGCCACCATCTTCCTAAACACACTCATGCACTTTCTCAGAAGCTTCTTCTCCGCGTACCCGCCCATGAAGGTGGTCCACGTGGCGGCATCAGGGGCCACCCCGCCCGCCCGCATGTCATCCATGAGCCTCTCAGCGCCCGCCATGTCAGCAGCATGCACGAGCACGGCGAGCACGGTGTTGTATGAGCTCACATGCCATGCCGCCCCCTCCCCCCCATGCATGCGCACCAGCACTCGCTGCATGGCTGCCCTGTCCCCCGCGTGCCCATGTGCCCCCGCCAGGCAGTTGAGCATTGTCCTGTCCACCCGCCCCCGCGCCCTCCCTCCACCACCCCTCCCACTCCCTCTCCCACGTCTCCTCTCTTCCCCCGCATCGTCCCTCCCCTCCCCCTCCTGCGTGCGCCCCATCTCCCCTTCCCCCCATCCGCGCAGCAGCGCCAGGTGTGCCTGCACTTTCTCCGGCAGCCCTGCCCGCTCGTATGCACGCAGCACCTCGTGCTGCCACCGCACCGGGGGGGGTGTGCCTGCCGCTGCTAGCGATGCATACACCTCCTCCGCCTCTGATGGGGGGGGGAAGGGAGGGGGGGGATGGGTGGAACGAGGCGCGGTGGGGGTGGTGAGAAGGAGGGCAGATGTGGGGCTGAAAGGAGGACGGGTGGAGCCATTTCCTGCGTTATGACATTCATTCTCTGCTCCTTCATACGTGCATGCATACTGCACTCTCTGCTGCTGCACGCCCACCACCACACTGCTTCCCTTTCCATTTTCCCCACACCACTCCCCACCCCACCAGTTTCCTTCCTCACCTCCCTTCCTCGCCCTCCCCTCTCCTCATCCCCCTCCCCCCGCTCACCTGTCCACAGTCCCTGCCGGGCCAGGGCGGCGAGCAGCGGGGTGACACAGGAGGGCGGAGGGGCAGCACCGGTGGTGCGCTGCATGGCCTCTAGCACTCCCCGCGCCCGCGCCACCTCGCCCGCCGTGCTGGGGGGTGGCGTTGGGGGAGGGGGGGAAGGGGGGAGGGGAGGGAAGGGAGAGGTTGAAGGGCACGGGCGGAGGAATGGGGTGAGGGGAAGAGGCTGTTGTGGGCCGTGTGGAGACTGGAGAGGCTGTTGTGCTGCTGCCGCAGCCCAGCAGCCCAGCAGCCCAGCAGCCTGGCAGCCCAGCAATCAAAGGGTCGCGCCACAGCACGAGGCTGAGCGTCCTCACGCTGCTCTTAGAGTGTCTCACGAGAGGGCGTGCAGGAGGGCGGTGGTGGAGTGCAGGTCGGGGCGCAGCCCCATGAGCGCGATGCTGTCGTACGCGCGCTGTGCCTCCCGCCACTGCCCCACGCGTGCATGCGCCGCTATCAGCGCCGTGAAGCACGGCACCGTGGGCAGCACCGCCGCCCCGTGCAGCCCTGCAAACACCTCCTCTGCGCGCTGGGGCAGCCCCGCCTGGGAGGGAGGCGGGGAGGGGGAAGACAAGGTGGGAGGAAGAGAGAGAGAGAGAGTGAGCGGGTGTGATGGTGCGTGGCAGAGACAGAGAGGGACCAAGCAGCAGGGGTAAGAGCGTCACGTCACCTTGCCATAGGCGTGCATGAGCAGCGCGTAGGAGGCGGCGGTGGGGCGCACGCCCTCCCCCCGCATGGCGCGCATGAGCCCCTCCGCGCCCTCCACGTCCCCCGCCCTGCCCCGCACCTCCACCATCGTGTTGTACGTCACCAGACCTGAGGGGAGAGGGCAGGGCGCAGGGGCGGGAGAGGCAGGGGGCAAAGGGGGCAGTGGGGCAGGGTAGGCAAGGGGCAGGGGGAAGCGGGTGCAGAGGCAGGGCAGGTGGTGAGGAGAGCATTGTGATGGGGACAGAGAGGAGGTGGGGAGGGAGGGAGGGGAGGTGGCATGGCATGGCTGATTGAGCATTACTGTGCGTCCCGCCACTGGCCTAACTGCTCTCGCCTCTCCGCTCAGCATCTGCATTCCGCCGCGCACCCACCAATTGGGGCGGCAGCACTCACTGGGGCGGCAGCACTCACTGGGGCGGCAGCACTCACTGGGGCGGTAGCCGCGGTGAAGCATCTCCTGAAAAAGCTCTTCAGCGGGCGGCAGCAGGCCCTGACGACACAGGCCGCCCAGCACCACGTTGAATGACGCCTCGCTGGGCACACACACGCCCACTCCCTCCTCCACCCACATCTCCACCTCCTCCTCCCCCACTTCCCCCCTTTCCCCCTCCACTTCTTCCCATTCCTCCCCGTCCCCCTCCTCCTCCTCCCTCCCCTTTCCCCGCGGCCCTCTACCCTCTCTTCCCCTTGCTCCCTCTCCTTCCTCCCCTGCATCTCTCTCTCTTCCCCCCGCTGCCCTCTCCCGTCCGCGCGTCTGTGGGAGGGAGAAGCGCACGCGCCCCTGCTGCATGAGGCGGAAGACGCGCAGAGCGGTGGGGGCGGCGCCTGAGCGCGCGTAGGCGTCCATGAGCAGATTGTACCCCGACACATCCGCGCGCCACCCCTCGCGCGCCACCACCCACTCGTACACCTGTGGGGAGGGGAGAAGTGGCGGAGAGAGGGGTTCCGAGAAGGGAATGGGATGGGCGGCATGTTTTGGTGGAAGGCAAGAAAAGAAAGGTGAGGCGGGTGGACGGGTGGGTTGGGGACGTGTGAGGGGAACAGTTGACTGAAGAAACGGGGAGATGGAAGGGTAGGGTCACCACCACATGCCGGCTTACATGCGCCACTACGTGCCACTCCTCCCTGCGCCGCAGCTCGCGCAGCACCGCCGCCACGTCCTCCTCCGCGCCCTTCCGCCCTCCGCCTCCCCCTCCTCCCGCGCTAGCCACATCCAGCGCCGCCCATCTTTGTCGGCGCAGCTTCTGCTGGCGCAGCTGGCGCAGCAGCGCGGACGCGGACGGGCTCAGCACGGGCGGAAGCCGCACGGGGGGCTGGTCGCTGCGTCGCCACTTGCTGCCTGGGGGAAGGGGTCCGGGGGTTGGGGGGGGCGGGGGTTGGGGGGTTCGGGTGGGGATTTGGGGGTTGGGGTTTGGACGGGGGCATCCGCGCGGGACCCTTTATTCCTGCGCATTGCCCTTTCCGCCATTGCAAGCGCCCGTTGCGCGCGCTACCTCTCCTCCCCCCTCGTCTCTCCCCCTCTCGACCACAGATCATCCTCGCCTCAAACCTCTCCTTCCCCTCCCCCCACCCATCGCGTCATTCCGCCTCCGCCCCTCCGCCTCCCACCTGCTAGAGCCACCACGGGGGGCGCGCGCCCTTGGCGTTGACTACTGGTGCTGCGGAGAGCGATCGGCGGAGGTCCGCTGAGCGGCATTCTGGGGCGCAGGGCTTGGCGCTTGAGGGAGAGCAGTGAGCGGCGGGGCATAGGCGCAGCACTCAGCTTTCCGCGCATGCCGCCATCATCTGCGGGTGGCCATTTCAAGCGCCGAATGGCGGACTCCTGGGTGCTGTTCCGCGCGCCCGCGCCAGCATCCCATAGAGCCTCGCGCCCGCCGACTGCACATGCGCGCAGGCGGGCGGAGGCCGACATGGGCGCGGAGGGTGAGAGTGACGAAGAGGAGCGGTGTAGGGAGAGAGTAGGAAGCCTGGCACGTGCTGGGGGGTCGAGGCGAGGCGAGGCGAGGCTTGTATGGTGCGATTGGCAGGTGTGCGAGCCGTGCGATGATTGTTGCTGGGACAGTGGAGGCAACTGCCAACCATTTCGGTGATGAGAGCCACTTGGTCTAAACAATTGACGCGAGTACGGTTGAGAGAGGTGCCTTGCAACCAACCATTTCATTGCCAACAGGAGAATCCATTCTTTCAATAAGCCATCTAAAGCACAATGAGTCACCTAAAGCTCCTACAACGAGCGGCGACGGATTCGACAGTCCTAGCTAGCAGCATGGCAATGCAATCAAATAATAACAGCAAGCGCTCGTCCCTGCCCCACCCGGGATAGCAATCCCATGCGCGATGCAGCTGCTGTGCCCGTCTCACCCACTCGCCTGCTGCCGGTCCAAGCGAGGCTGGGAGTGCGAGGCGAGGGGCATGCTTGTGAGGCCCGGGAGGGCAGTGCGAGCAGCCGGGGCGGGTGTGGGCGCCGTGACAGTGTGGCTCTGCCCGCACACAGGGGCCTGTAAGCGGTTCTGCCAGCCTGCAGCCGCCGCAGTGCCGGCCCCACACACACGCGCACGGGGTGCTTGCAGCGGGCAGTGGTGGGAGAGGGGCGCGAGAGAAGCGTAGCAAGGGAGAAGGGGAGGGCAAGAAGAGGAGCGCGGTGTGGTGCGACAGCTGCAGCCCAGGTGAGAGCGGAGAGGGGGGCGTGGGGCGAATGGCAGTGCTGCCACGGCTGGAGGTGTGGGCGTGGCAGGGGGAGGGGGGAGCGCAGGTGGAGAGCAGCAGCAGCGCAGGGCTGCAGGGCGGCTGACGGGGACCTCTGGGCCTCTGACTGGGTGGCACCTGCACCAGTTGCCACCTCCCCTTGTGGCACAGGGAGGGACTGTGGTCTTTGCCATATGCGAGTCGTACTGCCTCTTCCACTGCCCCTCGCACTGCCGCTCGGCCCCCTAGACTCCCTGCCATTCATCATGCCTGATCTGACGCTGCCACCCCTATCGCCCCCTCCAACCCTCACTGCCGCCTTCCCCTCAGCTTCTGCCTGCTGTGCTGCTGCACTGCTGCTGCCCTCGCCCTCCTGCCCTGCACCTTCAACCCTGCTGTTGCTCTCCACACCAATCCTCTCACCACCACCGCTGCTGCTCTCACCATCACTCTCATCACTGCCTCTCATGCTCTCACTGCTGCTGCTGCCATGACTCGCCCCATTGCCAGTCTGCCCAACACTGCCATCTCCCAAGCCCGCCCTGCTCCCTCCCCCAGCCCCTCTGATCCTATCTCCCCCTGTCCCACCCCCTTCCGCCCTCACCCGCCTGCCCCTCTCCTCGCGCTTGCTCAGCTTCCGCGTCCCCCCGCCCTGCGCGCCACACTTGTCGCGCTTCTCCGCGGCGATGCGCTGGGCGTCGCGCCACAGCCCCACGGACTGCCACGCGAGGCTCGTCTGCTCGTAGCACCGCGCGTCCAGCGGCCCCCCCTCCGCCTCCATCAGGCGCAGCACGGCCTCCGCGCGGTGGGGCAGGCGCGCCTCACAGAAGCCCCAGATGAGCGTGCGGAACGTGAAAGCGTTGGGGCGCACGCCCGCGCCCACCATGCGCTCATACACAGCCATGGCGGAGTCCATGCGCGCGCCCATGCTACAGTACGCGCCCATCACCGTCGTGTACGTCACCACGTTCGGCGCCAACCCATGCTGCTCGCGCATCTCGTCCAGCAGCCGCTCGGCGGCGTCCCCCTGCCTTGCGCGCAGGTACCCCTTGGCGAGCACCGAGAACGCCTCCACGTCTGGCGCCAGCCCCGCCGCCATGGCCTCCTGCAGTACGGCGCGCGCGCGGTCGGGGCGCGCCGCGGTGCTCCACGCGTTCATGAGCGTGCAGTACGACGCCAGGTCGGGGGGCACGCCCGCCAACCGCATCTTCTGCAGCACCTGCCGGGCCCAGCGCCGTGGGGGGTCGTGGGGGACGGCGGTGAGTGGGGAGAAATGCGGGGAATGGTGGTGAGTGGGGCGCTGTGCGCGCGGGGAACATGGGTGGAAGTGAGGAGTGGCAAAGCCAGCAGCTCACAGCACTCGGGATGCTGCGAGATGTAAGATTCGTGCTTCAGTCTAGCACATATCTGTTCCTTCGTCTCTTTGGGCGTTCCTTCTTTCCCCCGCTTTTTCTCTCTCTGCTTGATCCGCCTCTCCTATTTTCTAGCTGCTCGCTCCTTCTTCTCCCGCCAAACCCCTCGCTCCGCACGTTCTTCCTGCTCTTCGCCCGTCGATGACTAATCAAGCTGCTCTTCGCCCGTCGATGACTAATCAAGCTGCTCTTCGCCCGTCGATGACTAATCAAGCGCGCATGCCACATATCCGACCCTCTGACCCGCTCCTTCTCCTCACGCCCGATCCATCTCCTCACGCCCGGCCCTGCTCATCAACCACTCCCGCATCTCCGCCAACCATCTCTGCAGTCGCATTCCTCTCCCAATTCACCCGCCCTCACCTGCTGTCACCCGTCCCTCGGAGCCGTCTCCCTCTCCCAGTTCACCCGCCGCACGGCACGGAGCTCACCTGCGCGGCGGGGAGCGGCTGGCCGGCCTGGCAGTACCCCTTCACGATGGTGTTGAAGATGGTCGCGTTCGGCGCCACGTCCCACTCGCGCATGCGCTCCGCCACCACCTCCGCGTCCGCCATGCGCCCCACGTCGCACAGCGCGCGCACCATCATGCCGAACGTGCGCGCGTTGGGGCGCACGAGCGCGTTCACCATTTCGCGCAGCACGCGCTCGCAGTCGTTGGGGCGCCCCAGCCGCCCGTACGCCTTCATCAGCGTGTTGTACGACACCGCGTCCGGCGCCACGCCCGCTGCGCGCATCTCGCGCAGCACCGCGCGCGCCTGCTCCACGTCCCCGCGCTCGCACCACGCGTTCAGCAACATGTTGTACGTCCGCAACTCGCCGCCCTTCCCCTCCCCCCCGCCCCTCCCCGTCCCCCGCAGCTTCTCCCGCGACCAGCTCCGCCCGCCCTTGCGCCGCCCTGCCGCTGCTCCCGCGCGTCCCACCATCATCTCCGCGACTTTCGCCGCGTCTTCCGGGCGCTTGGCGGCGCCGAAGCCTTTGATGAGCGTGTTGTACGTGCTGGCCGTCGGCTCCCACCCGTTGAACCGCATGCGCCGCAGCACAGTGAGCGCCTCGTCCACGCGCGCGCGGGAGCAGAAGGCGTTGACCACGGCGTTGTAGCACACCGGGTCCGCCGCCACCCCCGCTGCTTCCATCTCCGCCAACACCGCTTCCGCCTTTTCTGGCTCCCCCAGCGTCGCGTGCGTCGCAATCACCTGCGAAAACGCCTCCAGCGGCGGGCGATGGCCGGCGCGCTGCAAACCGTCGATTGCAGCCTGCATGCCGGCGACGTCAGCCGTCGCACGGCAAGATGTGATGCGGTTCAAAGCGGTGGCGACGTCCGGGCACGGCAAGGGCCGCTTACCCTTCTCCTTGGCGGCGCAGTGCGCGCAGCGAGCGGCTGGCGGAGGGGCATCGCAGAGCCACGAGGGATGCGCGGAGCTGCCGCACTGCAGGCAGCGGAACTGGCGGGAATAGCAGACACAAGGGGGATGGGGGGGAATGGGGGATACAGGACCTTGGATCAGCGAGGCCAGTGCGAGCTAGCTAGGGCGGGTGGACGCACGAGTCTGAGAAGGTGTGATGGGGGAATTGGGCATAGGCAGAGGAGAGATTTGCGGCGAACCTTGGCTGATTGGGTGGTGGCAGAAATCGAGGCGGGCGGGGATGCGTCGTCCGCCGCACTGCCGATGTCCAGCAGTCCCTCCGCCCACCGTTCGTCGTCGCTCCTCACGTCACTGTCGCTCCACGCGTCGACGTCGCTTCTCGCGCCGCCGTCGCTCCTCGCGCCGTCGTCCGACTCGAAGCCGTCCGGCAGCGACGGACGCGACGGCCGCGGCAGGGACGCATCGCGAGGCGGTCTCTTGAAGCGCGCCGATTCCTGGGCGAGCGGAGGCATGGTGGGCAGGGAGGTACGACGGTCAGCGACGCACCAGTTGACGCACGTGATGCAGCAGCATGGCAGCTGCGAATTGCGAATTCGTCAAGCCGTGGTCGCCATGACTAGAGACTTCTGCTTGCAATGCGGTGATCAGCATACGACAGTGTGCTGTGCCTAATCAGTAGAGCAGACAGTGGACGAGACGAGTGAAAGTGTTCCGATGCGTTGCGACAGTATCGAGGGTGGCGGGTGGGACCTTCTCGAGGGACAGCAGGGAAATTATCCCGAGATTGGACCCCGAGCCAGGTTGACGTGGCCGATGGCACACCTCATTTGCATCTACACGTCGGACAAGAAATCAGCGATCCAATCAGCGTCGTTGAACGCCCAAGTTCCAGCGTGCGTGCACCACCTGGGACCAGACAAGTGCAGCGGAAATCAAAACTCAGCCTACAGTCAGACTCTTTACGACGGTAACACGAATTTGTAGTACAGTGCAATGTCAAGTAAAGGCTAAATTCCGCATTCCGACTCCACCCATCGCTAATTAATGCTTTCCATTATCGAAGGCCATAATCAGCATACATTCTCGAGGTCATGGCTGCCCGCCGCCTTCTCCCCCTTACACTCCGCCGAGTGCGCGGATTGCCCAACCCAGTGCTGTCGCCAGCCTCCGCCGCTCCATCGCCGCTTCCGCCTCTCTCCGCGTGCGCCGCCTCCGCCGATCGCACGATCCACGCGGCATTTTCTTCTGGATCACCCGCCACGCCTCCGCCCACCTTCTCCGCTAATGAACCCACCGCGCATGGCGCACCCTTCTCGCATACTTCTTTCCCCGCGCACCCTCATTCCGCCTTATCGCAGCCTCTCCGATTCGTTCACGCCGCCACCACATTCGCCTCGTCCCCGCATTCCCCGGAAGGGACGGTGCCACCTGGCAGTACCACGTCAGCAGCCGCCGGCGACGGTCGGCACGAAGCCACGTCAACGGCGCGCGAGTCGACGGCAGGCGGCGGGGTGTCGGACGGCAAAGCAGGGGGCAGCAGAGCGAGATGGGCGCAGGCCCGTGCGCCAGAGTGGGAGGAGCGCGTGTATGCGCGCGGCGTGCGCGGATACAACAACGTGCTGCAGCACCTGGCGGACACTAACAGGTGCGCGGGTGGCGCGGACGTGGGGGGGGGATGGGGTGGGGAACGGAGGAGATGGGGTGGGTGGGAGGGGGGTGGGATGGGGAGGGCATGCGGAAGGGTTGTGCAGAAGGAATAACAAGACAAGACTCCCTTGCTTGGCATGGCGCGGCATGCCATGGCTCCTTGGTGTCAACTCAACCCCTAGCTCCTCACCTGGCCCACCCACCCCCTGCCAATTCAATACAATCACCTGCATGCCTGCCACGTGGCACCATCTGCATCACTCAGGGCGCACCTGCTGCGCGACGTGTGGAACGACATGCAGAGTGACGGCGTGGCGGCCGACCGCACCTCCTTCCACCTCGCCACTGCCGCCGCCATGAAGGCCGGCCGCCTGCACGACGTGCTCTTCTTCTTCAATCACATGAAGACACGTGGCATGGCGCTTGACGTAAGCACCGTGTGCTGCCTGCTTTCCCCCGCCCCTTTTCCCCCCGTCTCTGCTCAGCGTGCGTCCCGTCCACCCCCAGAGGTGATTACCTCCGCACATTCCTTCCTTGTGGCCCATCCCCCTTCCCTACCTTCACCCATCCCTCCCATCCCCATACCCCATGCTCCATGCCCCATGCCCCGCATCCCATGCCCCATGCATGCCCCATGCCCTGCATGCCATGCGCCGTGCATGCGGCACACGGCTGGCATGCATCAGGTGGTGATGCACAACATGGTCATCAGCGCCTGTGCCATCTGCCTGCACGTCGACCTCGCCTTCAAGGTGCCTCCCGCCCCCCCCTGCACCTACCACCCCCCCCTGCTCCTACCGCCCCCCCCTGCACCTACCGCCCACCCCTGCACCTACCGCCCCCCCCTGCACCTACCGGCCCCCCCTGCACCTACCGCCCCCCCCTGCACCTACCACCCCCCCCTCGCACCTACCGCCCCCCCCTGCACCTACCGCCCCCCCCTGCACCTACCGCCCCCCCCTGCACCTACCGCCCCCCCCTGCACCTACCGCCCCCCCCTGCACCTACCGCCCCCCCCTGCACCTACCGCCCCCCCCTGCACCTACCGCCCCCCCCTGCACCTACCGCCCCCCCTGCACCTACCGCCCCCCCCTGCACCTACCGCCCCCCCCTGCACCTACCGCCCCCCCTGCACCTACCGCCCCCCCTGCACCTACCGCCCCCCCCTGCACCTACCGCCCCCCCCTGCACCTACCGCCCCCCCCTGCACCTACCGCCCCCCCCTGCACCTGCACCGCATGGGCACCTGCACCGCATGGGCACCTGCACCGCATGGGCACCTGCACCGCATGGGCACCTGCACCGCATGGGCACCTGCACCGCATGGGCACCTGCACCGCATGGGCACCTGCACCGCATGGGCACCTGCACCGCATGGGCACCTGCACCGCATGGGCACCTGCACCGCATGGGCACCTGCACCGCATGGGCACCTGCACCGCATGGGCACCTGCACCGCATGGGCACCTGCACCGCATGGGCACCTGCACCGCATGGGCACCTGCACCGCATGGGCACCTGCACCGCATGGGCACCTGCACCGCATGGGCACCTGCACCGCATGGGCACCTGCACCGCATGGGCACCTGCACCGCATGGGCACCTGCACCGCATGGGCACCTGCACCGCATGGGCACCTGCACCGCATAGGCACCTGCACCGCATGGGCACCTGCACCGCATGGGCACCTGCACCGCATGGGCACCTGCACCGCATGGGCACCTGCACCGCATGGGCACCTGCACCGCATGGGCACCTGCACCGCATGGGCACCTGCACCGCATGGGCACCTGCACCGCATGGGCACCTGCACCGCATGGGCACCTGCACCGCATGGGCACCTGCACCGCATGGGCACCTGCACCGCATGGGCACCTGCACCGCATGGGCACCTGCACCGCATGGGCAACCTGCACCGCATGGGCACCTGCACCGCATGGGCACCTGCACCGCATGGGCACCTGCACCGCATGGGCACCTGCACCGCATGGGCACCTGCACCGCATGGGCACCTGCACCGCATGGGCACCTGCACCGCATGGGCACCTGCACCGCATGGGCACCTGCACCGCATGGGCACCTGCACCGCATGGGCACCTGCACCGCATGGGCACCTGCACCGCATGGGCACCTGCACCGCATGGGCACCTGCACCGCATGGGCACCTGCACCGCATGGGCACCTGCACCGCATGGGCACCTGCACCGCATGGGCACCTGCACCGCATGGGCACCTGCACCGCATGGGCACCTGCACCGCATGGGCACCTGCACCGCATGGGCACCTGCACCGCATGGGCACCTGCACCGCATGGGCACCTGCACCGCATGGGCACCTGCACCGCATGGGCACCTGCACCGCATGGGCACCTGCACCGCATGGGCACCTGCACCGCATGGGCACCTGCACCGCATGGGCACCTGCACCGCATGGGCACCTGCACCGCATGGGCACCTGCACCGCATGGGCACCTGCTCTGCTTCACTTCCACCGTGCGTTCCATACCCCTCTATTGTCCATGCCTCCTCTCACAACATGGCATGGCATGGCATGGCATGGCATGGCATGGCAGGTGGCGGAGGGCATGAGGAGGGCGGGCATGGAGTTCCATCAGCGCACATACATCGCACTGCTCAACGCCGCCGCCAACACCGGCCGCATCGCCCTCCGCGTGAGCCCACCTCCCCTCCACCCCTCCACCCCTCCACCCATCGTGCACCCCCACTCCTCTCGCTTCCACCCCTGCTGCTCCTCATGTGCCCTTCCCTTGGCAGCCCTGCCCTGCCCTGCCCTGCCCTGCCCTGCCCTGCCCTGCCCTGCCCTGCCCTGCCCTGCCCTGCCCTGCCCTGCCCTGCCCTGCCCTGCCCTGCCCTGCCCTGCCCTGCCCTGCCCTGCCCTGCCCTGCCCTGCCCTGCCCTGCCCTGCCCTGCCCTGCCCTGCCCTGCCCTGCCCTGCCCTGCCCTGCCCTGCCCTGCCCTGCCCTGCCCTGCCCTGCCCTGCCCTGCCCTGCCCTGCCCTGCCCTGCCCTGCCCTGCCCTGCCCTGCCCTGCCCTGCCCTGCCCTGCCCTGCCCTGCCCTGCCCTGCCCTGCCCTGCCCTGCCCTGCCCTGCCCTGCCCTGCCCTGCCCTGCCCTGCCCTGCCCTGCCCTGCCCTGCCCTGCCCTGCCCTGCCCTGCCCTGCCCTGCCCTGCCCTGCCCTGCCCTGCCCTGCCCTGCCCTGCCCTGCCCTGCCCTGCCCTGCCCTGCCCTGCCCTGCCCTGCCCTGCCCTGCCCTGCCCTGCCCTGCCCTGCCCTGCCCTGCCCTGCCCTGCCCTGCCCTGCCCTGCCCTGCCCTGCCCTGCCCTGCCCTGCCCTGCCCTGCCCTGCCCTGCCCTGCCCTGCCCTGCCCTGCCCTGCCCTGCCCTGCCCTGCCCTGCCCTGCCCTGCCCTGCCCTGCCCTGCCCTGCCCTGCCCTGCCCTGCCCTGCCCTGCCCTGCCCTGCCCTGCCCTGCCCTGCCCTGCCCTGCCCTGCCCTGCCCTGCCCTGCCCTGCCCTGCCCTGCCCTGCCCTGCCCTGCCCTGCCCTGCCCTGCCCTGCCCTGCCCTGCCCTGCCCTGCCCTGCCCTGCCCTGCCCTGCCCTGCCCTGCCCTGCCCTGCCCTGCCCTGCCCTGCCCTGCCCTGCCCTGCCCTGCCCTGCCCTGCCCTGCCCCTGCCCTGCCCTGCCCTGCCCTGCCCTGCCTGCCCTGCCCTGCCCTGCCCTGCCCTGCCCTGCCCTGCCCTGCCCTGCCCTGCCCTGCCCTGCCCTGCCCTGCCCTGCCCTGCCCTGCCCTGCCCTGCCCTGCCCTGCCCTGCCCTGCCCTGCCCTGCCCTGCCCTGCCCTGCCCTGCCCTGCCCTGCCCTGCCCTGCCCTGCCCTGCCCTGCCCTGCCCTGCCCTGCCCTGCCCTGCCCTGCCCTGCCCTGCCCTGCCCTGCCCTGCCCTGCCCTGCCCTGCCCTGCCCTGCCCTGCCCTGCCCTGCCCTGCCCTGCCCTGCCCTGCCCTGCCCTGCCCTGCCCTGCCCTGCCCTGCCCTGCCCTGCCCTGCCCTGCCCTGCCCTGCCCTGCCCTGCCCTGCCCTGCCCTGCCCTGCCCTGCCCTGCCCTGCCCTGCCCTGCCCTGCCCTGCCCTGCCCTGCCCTGCCCTGCCCTGCCCTGCCCTGCCCTGCCCTGCCCTGCCCTGCCCTGCCCTGCCCTGCCCTGCCCTGCCCTGCCCTGCCCTGCCCTGCCCTGCCCTGCCCTGCCCTGCCCTGCCCTGCCCTGCCCTGCCCTGCCCTGCCCTGCCCTGCCCTGCCCTGCCCTGCCCTGCCCTGCCCTGCCCTGCCCTGCCCTGCCCTGCCCTGCCCTGCCCTGCCCTGCCCTGCCCTGCCCTGCCCTGCCCTGCCCTGCCCTGCCCTGCCCTGCCCTGCCCTGCCCTGCCCTGCCCTGCCCTGCCCTGCCCTGCCCTGCCCTGCCCTGCCTTGCCCTGCCTGCCTCTACCCTGCATGCATCCGCCTCTCTCCCATGCAAGCACGCCAAGCTCCTCCCTGCCCCCGCTTCCTCCCAACCTCGTTGTGCTGCCTTCCTCAACCCCCTGCCCTCCCCCCCACCGGGGCGTGTGTGGGAGCAGGGAAGCGGTGGTGCGGGAGATGGAGGCGGGGGGCAGGCAGCGCACGCGCCTCACACTGGCGGCGCTCATCACGGCACATGCCAACCACCTCCCGCTGCTGCCCCGCTGCAAAGCCAAGGTCCCTTCTGCTCCTGCTTGCACTGCCACGGCAGCAGAGCAGCTGACCCATGTTACTGCCGCCCCGCGCATCTCCCCTCTCATCCTTCCCCATGCTCTCCCCTCTCATCCTTCCCCATGCTCTCCCCTCTCATCCTTCCCCATGCTCTTTCCTCTTGTATACCATTCCCTCTCCCCCTCACCAGTGCCATTCCATCCCGTCTCCCTTCTCCCTCTTGCAAGCCATCCTTCTTCCCCTCGCCTGCCCCACGCCATTCCCCTCCCCATCCCCCTCCCCATCCCCCTCCCCATCCCCCTCCCCATCCCCCTCCCCATCCCCCTCCCCATCCCCCTCCCCATCCCCCTCCCCATCCCCCTCCCCATCCCCCTCCCCATCCCCTCCCCATCCCCCATCCCTCATCCCCCTCCTCCATCCCCCTCCCCCATCCGCCTTCCCCCTCCCCCCTCCCCATTTCCCCCACAAGGTGCTAGCTCTGCTGGATGAGGCGCGCGCCCTGCCCTCTGAGGAGGCCCCAGGGCAGGGGGGAGGGGTGGGGGAAGGGGAGGGGGGAGAGGAGGAGGGGGAGTTGGGAGGAGGAGGGGGAGAGGAAGGGGCGGATGAGGGGGATCAGGCGGCATTAGCAGGGGGAGGAGCGGCAAGAGCAGAAGCAGCTGCCATGCAGGGTGGCGGCACGGTGCAGGGCGGCACGTTGCGGCATTACATGGCAGCGCTGACGGCTATGGAGACGCTCAGAGACCCGCAGGTGAGGCAGGGGGGGAGACAGAGAAGGGGGGAGGCAGATGGGGGGAGGCAGAGGAGCGGGGAGGCAGAGGGGGGGGTAAGGCAGGAGGGGGGGGGGAAGGCAGGAAGGGGGGTGGAAGGCAGGAAGGGGGGGGGAAGGCAGGAAGGGGGGGGGAAGGCAGGAAGGGGGGGGGAAGGCAGGTGGGGAATGGGAGGCGAGGGAAGGCGGGCGCAGGTGAGGGTGGTGAGCGGGACCAGTGCGCTCGGTGTGACATACCTCCCAGTCCCCTCGCCCCTCTCTCTGTGACCATGCCATGCCATGCCATGCCATACCATGCCATACCATACCATACCATACCATGCCATACCATACCATACCATACCATGCCATGCCATGCCATGCCATGCCATGCCATGCCATACCATACCATGCCATGCCATGCCATGCCATACCATACCATACCATGCCATGCCATACCATGCCATGCCATGCCATGCCATGCCATGCCTGCCATGCCATGCCATGCCATGCCATGCCATGCCATGCCATGCCTGCCATGCCATGCCATGCCATGCAGGGGGCGGAGCAGGTGATGGCAGCAGCGAGGGAGGATGGGGTCACACCAAATGCACACATGCACCGCCGCCTCATCAGGTGGGTCCGCCAGCTCATCAACTGGGCGGCATGCACCGTGACAGCACCACCTGCACCCCTCCACGTCTGCCTTTCTCTTCCCTGCTCGCCACACATCTCTGCTCGCCACACATCTCTGCTCGCCACACATCTCTGCTCGCCACACATCTCTGCTCGCCACACATCTCTGCTCGCCACACATCTCTGCTCGCCGCATATCTCTGTTGCCCTCCCACAATCCGCCCTTCCTTCTCCCCCTCCACCCCATCTCGCCATCTACCCCCCTTACCCCTCCCCCCACCAGGGTGTATGCGAGTGCGGGGCAGGTGCAGGCAGCGAGGGCGGTGTGGGAAGCCTTTGTGGCCTCGGGGGGCTACCCGGGAAGGAGCCTCTTCCTGGTGGGTGGGGCTGGCGGCCATGCCCCCATGTCGCTGTGATTGGAATGAGACGCATTTCGCCCTGAACAGCTTCAGAGATTTTCCCGTTGCTGTGTCTCATGCCGCCTCTCTCGCAGCCACACTCAACCCTCAACTCTTTCTTGCTTTTCCCTTGTCCCTTTCCCCCCATCTTTCCCCTTGCCGTCCATCTTTCCCCTTGCCGCCCGTCTTTTCCCTTGCCGCCCATCTTTCCCCTTGCCGCCCATCTTTCCCCTTGCCGCCCGTCTTTCCCCTTGCCGCCCATCTTTCCCCTTGCCGCCCATCTTTCCCCTTGCCGCCCGTCTTTCCCCTTGCCGCCCATCTTTCCCCTTGCCGCCCGTCTTTCCCCTTGCCGCCCATCTTTCCCCTTGCCCCCCATCTTTCCCCTTGCCCCCCATATCCTGTGCCTCGCTGGGCCAATGGGCGGGCAGCACGTGGCGGAGGCAGCAATGGCGCAGGCCACGCGAGACAGCACCGCCATGGCACGCCAATACATGGTCAGGGGGCGTGCTCATGGCAGGGCAGTGTGCTGAGGGGAGGGTGTGCTGCTGGGAGGGCGGTCTGCTTGCCATTTCCACTGCGCTGCTGTTGTTGTTGCTATCACCATTGCACACTGTACCACCTGCCGCCATGCCTTTCACCTCAAACCCTTCACACTTGCGTTCATCTGCTGATGTCCTTTCCTCCTCGCACATGTGCTCACATAACCTCCCCTCCACCCCACTTCCTCCCCCACCAGGAGGAGTTCTTCAAAGCGGGCTACTTCCTCAATCCCACCACGGGCGCTCGCCTGCTCAAGCTCGCCTCCATCTTCGCCCGCAAGGTGCTGCTCTACTCCCTGCTTGCTTTTTGGGGTAGGCGCCTCTCCTCTAAGGGGCTGTGAGGGGTAGGCGCCTCTCCTCTAAGGGGCTGTGAGGGGTAGGCGCCTCTGGTTTATTTCTCCCACCCCCCACTTGCTCCCACCCACCACTCTCTCCCTCTTCCCTCACCTCCCCCCCACCCATTGCCCTCCGCAGAGTGGCGACCCATAATGTGCATCAATCATATTCGAGCGCTACACGGCCGCCATGAGGGACGTGGATTCCAGACGCGCTCACCGTTCCCCTCCGCCTCTCCCCTGGTGTCCCTCTCCCCTCACCTCTCCCCACACTCCCCCCACCTCTCCCCCCACCCATTGCCCTCAGAGTGGCGACCCATCATGTGCGTCGCTCATATTCGACCGCACTACACGGCCGCCATGAGGGACGTGGACCAGGACGCCCTCTGTGTACTTCTCCCCCACCCATTGCCCGCAGAGTGGCGACCCATCGTGCGCGTCGCTCATATTCGACCACTACGTGGCCGCCATGAGGGACGTGGACCCGCACTCCCTCACCGTTCCCCTCCACCTCTCCCCAGTGCTCCTCTCTCCCCACCTCTCCCTCACCCATCGCCCTCCGCAGAGTGGCGACCCATCATGTGCATCTCTCATATTCGAGCGCTACGTGGCGGCCATGAGGGACGTGGATCCGGACACCCTCTGTGTCTTTGCCTCTGCGCTGCTCGACCTGGGCGTGCCGCCCTCCGATGCACGTGTGCACCGCGCTCACAGCCTCGCGGCACAGCGGCGTTCTGTGCGCCTGCAAGCCAAGGCACGTGCCGGCGTTTGGCACGGCGCTTTTCCACCGCCCGTGTAGGCGCCGGGCGGGTTCGGGTGTTGACAAGTGCAGGTGGTGGCTGATTGCCTTGGACTGGTTTAGGGTGGTGAATGTGAATGTGTACCAACAGTACCGTACAAGGCGGCATTCTCTATAAACCTCAGTTGTTGGAAGGAAGAAAGGTAGCTTGTTCTTACTCTTTCCAACTAAATCAGTTCTGCTAGTAGCATAGTTGGCAAACAGAGATGGTGTGGCAGTTGGGTTGATGTACCGTAACGGTGGATGGGCTATATGTTAGCACATCCGCTTTAGACCAGTCACAGTGGAAGCCTGGAAGGAAGCCATGGTTTACTGGGCAGGGCACGCGCTCCCGCGCCCATGTAGGCGGTGCCAGGTGGAGGGTGTGTGACGCCGTCTCAAGTCACAGAATGGGGCTAGTGCGAGCGTGGTCTTCGGTAGCAACAGCAACAGTGCAAGGAGATGGTGGAAGGAAGAATACCGGGTACCAGGTGCAATGATACGGTTTGCTGTCGTGCCCATGTATACCCACTCTGATGTGCTAGTCATGAACACACTCCGTGGTCAGTTGTTCTGTCTGCTACCAACACCCCTGTTGCCCCACCTGGCTGCCGTGTCTGAATGAGTTAAACATGCCACCACGTCTCCAGCTATTCCAGCTGCACTGACAACACCGTGAGCTTGAAAAATAGCATTGGTCTGATATATATTAAATAACAAAGGACGCACCTCTGCCAGTTCAGCCTTCAAATGGGCTAAACTCGGCTGGCAGAGCTGCAATCGCGCGGACCTAGAAAAACTAGCAGACAAGGGAGAGGGAGGGTGCTTGCAGGCGCTCCTCATAGAAGCGCCAGCAGCAAGCAGTCTATGGCGGGCGGGCAATGGCCCGGGTGCATACATGGGCATTATGGCATTGTATCGTTGTCGGAGCACACGGCTCCCCCGCGCATGTCGATTCCAGGTGTGTGCAGCGCAAGCGGAGCAGGGCGGGCGGGCGGGCGGGGCAGCAGCGCGGCGGATTAGATTTCTTGGCCGAAGTCAACGAAGGGGCGGCCGGTGTCGATGACTTTGCGCTTGGCCACCGTGTTGATCAGCGCGATCATGGACGTCACGCCCGCTGCGACCACACACACACGTCACATGCCACGCACACGGGGGAGAATTGAGTTCCATGTGCCACTGTTTGAGCGGGGTCACGCTCAACGCGGGAGTCCCTTCACAAGCTGCCGTAAGGAAGCTCGTGAGTTCGGTTCAGTATGTTTCCATGCGCTGATTAGCAGTTGCGGTGGGTCCTAAAATGCAAAAGAAACCGAATCGCCGTACCCCATCGCACGCATAGCACGCGAGAGTTTGAGTTTGCCCACTTCTTCTTTCCCTCTGACCTTGCCCTCTCCTAGTCCCACATGATTCACAGCACTCCGCACCACCACCGTGTCATCACCCTTAATATCCACTACTGCGCGGCGCAGCGCGGCTCATCACGCAGCAACCCCACGCGCATGCTCGCACCGTTTCCGTTCCTATATCTTTCCACAATAATAAAATTCACGGAAAGAACGCTAACCTGAGATGGCGGTGACGACGCCGACATAGCCGCCGGCCTTGTTCCAGTTCTTATTGGAGGGCGTGAAGTTGGCGATGACGAGCAGCACGAAGGTGATCTCGAGAAAGAAGAAGGTGATGCAGACGGTCTTGGGCATGAGCAGCGTGGCGAGGAACATGTACGTGTTGAATATCATGAACCCCGACAGGTACCACCCCAGCGCGCTCGCTACCACCTCCTTGGGCACCTGCGCGGGAGCGGGGGAGGTGCGGGAGGCGGGAGGCGTTGGGGGGGAAGCGGCGAGAGTTGACGAAGGCGACTTGCAAGGCGCGCAGGACGGGTGGCGCATGGGCGAAGCGCAGATCGAGGGCAGGGCCCGTGCGGTGAGGCAGTGGAATTTGAAATGAAGGAAATCGAAGCGGTGGGATTTAAGGGAGTGGGAGGGAGGCGCGGACTGACCCAGCCGAGGAGTTCGAGGAGGATGAAGGTGGCGAGGCCCATCCAGAAGCAGCCGAAGGACGTGAAGGCCGTGCACGCGAAGACGTTGTCGTGCTTGAACTCCCACATGCCCGCCAGGATCTGCCCCACGCCGCCGTAGAACAGCGCCAGCCCCATCCATATGTGGTTCGGCGCCCACCCTGCCGCGCACCGCCGGGTAGCGGAACAGGAAAAGCGAGGGTTAGCGCGGGTGGGGGCGACAGCGTGGGTGTTTACGGTCAGTTGCTGCGTGGCAAGTCGCAGATGAAAACGAGATGCACTGGCATGCATCCTGGCGGCGGGGTTGCGTACCTGCGTTGTGCGCCGATAGAACGAAGGTTGTCAGCGCGAAGGACGCGAGGCCCAGTGGAGCCGGGTTGGCGATCTTCTCCGGTTCGATGAGCGCTCTGTACCCACACGACTCTGCCATTGCGTGCTGTGTGTATGCGCTTTGTGATTGGGTGTGACGTGTTTGACCTGCTGAGCTTGCAACGTCTGAGTTGCGGAACTACGAATTTGATCACTGTGGGGGGAGAGCGAGTCTGAGCTGAGATTGTACGTGTTAGGAGCGAGTGACAGAGGGACGCAAGGAGCAAAGAATGGTGAAAGTCGAAGACGGAAAATGCGTCGAGTAGCTTTGACAGTTGAATGAGCCACATGCACACGCCCCTCCCCCTCTTCATCTCTCTCACCTCGCTGCATCACACCGCTTCCGCTGCTTCCGCGAGCTCCGCACCTTTCGCTTCGCGCTCCCCTGACTCTCTACATGTGCAGTTATGGCGCGTAACCGAACCGAACCTGACACGTTTGGTCCCGAGATCTGTGGGTTCGGACCAGAGCAGCAAGGCTCGGTAGCTTGGTGGGCTCATCGCGTCAGCAACAGATGCTCCATCTCTCGTGCCAACGCAACGTTTCATGGTACACCTGTGCCTGTGGGGGCACTGCTTTTCGTAGACGCGCCGTCGCATACAGTACAGGTGTCAGGGTCCACGTGCTCCTGTCTGCTTGACCCCCCTTTGAGGCTCCAAGTTGTTCACCTACCTCCCGTTGCGGGTTTCATGTGTCAAATAAGTCAACCCAATCACATCAGCGCATCTTCAATATATCAAACCATCAGCTGCCATTGTTGCGCTGTCAAGCCTAGCTGGACTCTCACGTGGCAACCTTTTGCGTGCGCTGTCACGGGATTCGCGCGTGCAACATCTCACGTTGGAGAAACAGTTGTTGGGTCTGGTGTTCAAGCAAAAGCACGAACCGCGTGCCCTTCCGCCCAGCTGATTGGCTGAGCAGTGCGTCGTGGTTCGGCCCAAACCGGATTACCGCGTAACCCTGAACGCTCCATTTCTTGTGATTTGGCGGAGAGTTGTTGAGGGGGAAGCCCAGCGCGACCGTCTTCGCCTTTATCTCCCTGCCTCATTCGTTCCTCTCTCCAACTGCAAGTTACGCTAGTAAATTCGACAGGCTATCAATCCGTTTATCCTTGCACTCACCTCCCAACACAAGTCACAGACCTATCCATCACTGTCAATCCTTCGCCCAGCACGACCAAGTTTCGACTGTCGATTTTCTCACCAACAAATCTCATCACTTCTCTAGACTATACTTCATAGCACCATGGGTCTGGAAGACGGTGCGCCCGACGAGATCCGCATCGCCAGCCAATGGAAACCCACAGCCGACGGGCGGCCGCTGGGACTGGCGGCGTTCGCGTGCACGACCTACATCATGTCCGCATTCAACGCCGGTTCGTCCCACTCCTTTCCCTCTCGCCCTTCCCTGCGTAACCATTCCGTCGCTCACGCCTGCTCACTTCCGCTGCCATTCCCTTGAAAGCCACCGCTTCCTTCCCCTGGCCCGTTGGGGTGGCTTGGTGTCCCGTCTCTCCATTCGCCCGTTGGGGTGGCTTGGTGTCCCGTCTCTCCATTCGCCCGTTGGGGTGGCTTGGTGTCCCGTCTCTCCATTCGCCCGTTGGGGTGGCTTGGTGTCCCGTCTCTCCATTCGCCCGTTGGGGTGGCTTGGTGTCCCGTCTCTCCATTCGCCCGTTGGGGTGGCTTGGTGTCCCGTCTCTCCATTCGCCCGTTGGGGTGGCTTGGTGTCCCGTCTCTCCATTCGCCCGTTGGGGTGGCTTGGTGTCCCGTCTCTCCATTCGCCCGTTGGGGTGGCTTGGTGTCCCGTCTCTCCATTCGCCCGTTGGGGTGGCTTGGTGTCCCGTCTCTCCATTCGCCCGTTGGGGTGGCTTGGTGTCCCGTCTCTCCATTCGCCCGTTGGGGTGGCTTGGTGTCCCGTCTCTCCATTCGCCCGTTGGGGTGGCTTGGTGTCCCGTCTCTCCATTCGCCCGTTGGGGTGGCTTGGTGTCCCGTCTCTCCATTCGCCCGTTGGGGTGGCTTGGTGTCCCGTCTCTCCATTCGCCCGTTGGGGTGGCTTGGTGTCCCGTCTCTCCATTCGCCCGTTGGGGTGGCTTGGTGTCCCGTCTCTCCAGTCGCCCGTTGGGGTGGCTTGGTGTCCCGTCTCTCCATTCGCCCGTTGGGGTGGCTTGGTGTCCCGTCTCTCCATTCGCTTGCCTGCGACCGCTGTCTTGCCTTGCTCGCTCCAAAGCTCACCCGCTCCTCTCCTCCGTCTCTTTCCCCCCGCGCCGCTGCAGGCTGGGCGCCCGACTTCATCTGGATCGGGGCGGGGCTCTTCTACGGCGGGCTGGGGCAGCTGTTAGCGGGGATGTGGCAGTTCAAGCGCAACTGCACGTTTACGGCCACCGCCTTCTCCACGTACGGCTGCTTCTGGATGTCGCTCGCCGCCTTCAAGATCCTCGAAATCTCCAAACTCGTGAGTGCCGCCATGCCTATCCGCGGCAGTCCCGCGTGGCCTTCCGTCTCGAAACCCCTCGCCACCATCGCTCCCTGTTGCGAGCTTTTCCGAAACGCGCCGTGGAGCGCTCCTGACCTGATCAAACTTTTACGCGACACAACAAAACAAACAAAACAAAGAACGATGATCTTCGGCAGCA